TCATTTACACAACCGTCAAAAAAGCTGAGAATACGGGCGTTTACTATGTGACAGATGCTAAATGTGAGTTTGATAACGGTATCCTGTTGTCCATGCGTTTTTTATTAAACTGTTCAATTCACCATGACCCTGAGCAAACCTTCAGATCTCACTCTCGAATTGAACGGCTATTGGCATTCAAGTTTATAGAAAGAGTATACCAAAAATAATCAGCTTTTACTAAAGTTGATCGATCTTTTTTATTGGTTTTTTATGTACAATCACGTGAATATGGAATAGTCATCCCGTTGTGTGTTACGATATCGAATATCGAGAATATTTGCCAAATATTATTCAAGAAATGTCATTTCCACAGGACACAATTACCGGTAGTAGCATTCACTCTTCACAGTTTAGAAGAGGATTGATCTTTGAAATATATATATTTTCTTTCGTCTTTGAGATCTACATAATATCTTACATGAAATAAATATATTTTGCTAGATTTGGAGAATCGTACGCCTCTCATAATTGGTTGCACTAACAAAGATTGTTGTTACCTTGTTTAAAAGCCAACACGTGTCAACGCCGGTCAGATATATTCTGTTGACCTATCCGTATCGGTATCGGTGGTGGCGCTGTTTCAAGGTTCACCAAATTGTCGAACGTACTGTATGGAATAATAATAACTTTATTGTTATCGAATCTCTGTTGAGATATAGATAAAATTACAATAAAGAATAAAATCATAATAATAAAAAGTAAAAACAGAAAATTCAAAACAACAAGACAAAAGTAAAATAAGTACATTGCATAGATGGTAATATTACAATAAAATGTTATTTATTTATTTTATTTATTTTTTCATTTATTTTTTGTTGTTGATAGTTCTGATATGAGACAGCTGGTAAATTTATTTATTCAACCTTTGCTCTTATTTGATTGTTACGTTTATTTTATTTGTTTTTTATTCATTCATTTAAAAGAATATTCAATATTTTGTTGGTGGTGATCTATAAAGGAAAATAAAACATTACGAAATCATGGCTAGTCACTTATCCTCGGGGGCCGAGCTACGTCACAGACGTTCCACGTTGCTAAGACGCGCACCACTGTACCATGCATTTCTATGGCTCTGTGCGCGCTGCTGTCGAACGCCGGTCGAGCCGGTGAAAGTTCGAGAAAACAACACAAACTCAACTTTGAAGTAATCCTGAACAACCAAATTTATATATGTTACACGCGTAGGGCTAATCTTGTTACACTGTTCAGGGGAGTCTCAACAACCATCCCGAAGTACCGTTTTCTGCAAGTTTTTGGCCATTGTTTTCACCGCGAGGGTTGCCAGGCGGTGAAAATGCCCGGATGTCCGCCCCCCGAGGATAGTCGCTAACCTGCCACTCAGCAGCAAAACAAAGATAAAACCTCAAACTACAGTATATCCTAAACATCAATAAAATAAATCAAAATAGTACATACATACAATAAACACAACAATCGAATAAAAACATTCAAGTATTCATGTTGTATTACAACTTAAAAACGGTTGGCAGTCTGGTGAACTTTAACAATAGGCTTCGAAACAGCGCCACCAATAGTGTAATAGTTCAAATAATATCACAGCAGTCTACGATCAAACCAGGACGATATGCCGGCATACAATCTAACAAAATACATTTATTTAATAATAATATACAATGTAGTTCATAAACAATAAAAAAAAATGTCTCCCGGTAACACAGCCTACAATTTCAGATATGGCATAATAAATGGAATATATTCACCTTAGGAACCATTGATAAATCGTTCCGACAAAATAGCGACAAAAATGCAACCATCATTTTCTTGATGAAAGTTCATATGCTCACAGTTACTTCGACTACAATTTAACACAAAATGAATAACATGTTGGATATTTTTGTTAATGTATCAGCGCCTACATACGCTACCATGTGACGCCCAGAGTGAACGCTGCAAACATATATCGTTGAGGGCAGAACACATGTACATGTACTGGAAGAAAATATCATAGTTCGACCGAAACGCGATACAGACTGGAACTCGAGCCTAAGTAGAAGGCCCACCCCCCTTAAAAAACAAAAACAAAAAACAAACATATCAATAGAGCGTCATGTCATTTTGCATGAGGGGCGAAATCTGAAACTGATCTCCAAAATTTGTTTCGGGTTGGCGACCGCCCCCTCTGTTCCCTCAGATGCCGCCGCCACTGCATGCAAAACATGATATGGTTATGAACGGGTGCAATAGTGTATAAGCACAGTCTCTCTATCTATGATATATACTGTAGAGGAACTGTGATATAAGTTACTAATATACTACACCCTCGTGAAGTTCAATATCAGTACAATTGCATGGCCACGAGTAATTACAGCACGTCAACCGCGCTTGGAGTTAGCACCGACCTCGGACAACTAAACGAATATAATAGTTCCCTTTGTACTGACCTAACGTGTCCGACTGATTCAAGATGTGTTCGCATAAATGCGTACACGTATTTCGGAGGGGGGGGGGTTGTTTCCATTGTTTGCATGACATTTACACATTGAAGATATCTCAGGACAGGTGACCTAATGCTGAATAATGAAATCATGACAAGGTACGTGAGAGATTTTGACCAATTTTTGAATTGATATTAAAGTCACTTTAAATAAATGTATACGTGGTTTAGTATATTGTTTAGGGCCTAAGTTGATATACAGTGATACAAACTAAATTAATTGGCCAAATCTCCTTTCAGAAATTGACCACAAAACTCGTCGGGGATCTCTTGTATTACTTATATACGGGTATGCGGGCAAGTTTTGGTAAAAATTAAGTCTTGAAAGGCCAAATTCCTCAAAAATCCACCCCTTGAAACATATTTTCATGAAAACAAAAACCTTTGAAACAAATTTTCAAGAAAAAAAAAATCGTTAAAACATAGCTCTGGTTCCTGACAATTTAAAAATTGGAACACATTGACCCATGCAGAAATTACACACTTCCTGAGTGCCTTGCGTATCCGTTGGTATGTAGTTCGAACCCATCCAAGAGCGTTGCTTCTAGCACTGTCATTTTATTTTCTGAAATTAAAGGTAACGTGACTTTGTTTCTAGATGGCTAAGGTAATCAGACAAATCTTCCTAGTACCTTCGCACTCCGAGTTCGGATGCAATGTCTGCATATTAACCGCCACATTTTAGGACAGAAGTCCGTAACGCCCGGCTGTTCAATTTCAATATACAAGGAGCGACATGACTGGGGAGGTTTTTTTTCCATAGTTTAAAGGGCGGTGGTCATCGAGCCGCTCATGCGCGAGATATGGGTCCCATATAAACAAAGATGGCGACTTTGACTGTTGCGCAGACCATCGAGTACAAACTGAGACTTTACCAAGTTTTAATTAGATAATTTTTTGGGTGATTGGAAGGTATCGACGGGGTTACTTACGGTAATTAGTGCACGTCGCGCCCAGGTCAGCTCATACTCGTGATTATGGGAAAATCAATGTTTATCAACACAGATATCGCACATGCGCTGCGCGACGACAATCGCCAACGAGTATACTCATGCGCCGCTGTTTTGACACCCCTCCGTTTTCACTGTAGAGTCGATTATTCTGACACCCAATGTTAAGATTTTCGGCCATTTTAGCAAGATTTTGTTTTTTTGTTGCCACAAAACGACAATTTCTGAACAAAAAGTGCCACCAACGTCGATATTGTGGGCCCAGTTTTGACAGGCTGCAGAGCAAACCCTCTTACGATAAAGATTTGTTACCACGAATTTGACGAGTTTTAGTCGGTTTTCTGCAAACCCATCACAGATTGTGTGCCTCATGGCGCACGTGTTTTACGTAACTTTTTTATATAGAACCACAATAGGCCAATGACCTGACCAAAAAGGTTGTTAACCAGTTGGGCTGTGAATCACAAAAGAAATCGGTCAGTAGTATATAGCGTATATTGAGATCATGGTGTCGACAGATAGCGATACATTAGAACATGCAACACAGATATTAAAATCGAAATGCCAATCAAATTTTTAGCCAAGAAAAAATAAATCGTTAACTTCACCATAAGCGGGCGCACCTCAATTTGAAATACACATCAATAAATCAACGGATGTACGTCACTACGAAAGCGCCAATTAGTACTTTCATTCAACTCATGCATTTGAGTTCACTCACGTCCATGCGACCCATTTTTTACGTCCGCACGACCCATTTCCCCATACTGCGATCCGCACTGACTCCACACGAGGTACTTGTACTTTTCGTAACCCCCCCCCCCCCCCACACACACACACTGACCTGGACTACACTAGCACACCTCACCGTTGAGGGCAGCACGGAAAATATCATAGCTCAGCCCTCAGAAAACTAATAAGTCGTCTGAGCTCAGCCGATGCGGGATTGATACGGACTGGAACTCCAGTCTCCTTCTACTAAACTCTTCAACCTAATCCGTTACCCAGGACACATTAAATTAATGGTTCAAATCGTTAACCTGAAATCTTAAATCTCAAATTTCTTTTTAGGGATTGCATTTGAGCTAGAAATTCCGAGTTTGAACCCAACGGATCCGTTGTACATCGTGGCCATTTCACAATGTAATCTCATCTTTACAATTAATTAAATACAAATTTAGTATATTAGTCTTATTTTTGACTCGTTGTTAACATAACTCTGTACTATGGTATTGGTGATATATGAATTGGGTGCCATAGGATGGTACTTGATGGCCAACCAACCTAATTAAATATGTATTTTGCATTGTACGAGTGCAAACTAAGTTATGAGGAAATTAAGATATTAGTACCAGCTGTTTTATACGCATGAGCATTGGCCGATCCTGTCAAAATCTCGTCATCTGTTTTGGGGCGTGTCTAACGATGTGAAATTGCTTCAGCCATTGGGTAACGGAATTAACTGGTGTCGGTGTGAAAACCGCTTTAAAATGGCGGTAAAATGAATTTGCCCGGTTTTTGCGCTGCCATTTTTTGAATTATTTGGAGCAGCAATGGAAGCCGACCATTTAATTGATACAAATCTTGTCCAGAATATGATTTTAAATGGTCGAACTTATAGAGAAATCAGTCTCGTATTGGAAAGCATGTTTCCGGAAAGGAGAGGTGGCGTGGTGAGTAGATTTGCTCCCCAGGAGGGCGTCGGTACCGAGAAAGAGGTGGTGAATATGGTGTCGAGCGGTCAACATAGTAAACCAAACTTGGAACTCGCGATACTGGTGCAAATAATTATTCGAACAACCATGAACATTAAATGGCGGAATTTTGGTGTTGCACATTTAGCACAGAAATAAAAGACACCTCCACAGTTAGACAACCAATCATTTTATTATTGGTCACGATGTACCACGGATCACCTCCACCGTGACGTTCTTTGTAAACACCACATACACGATGTGCCGCCATCCAATGGTGAGCGGCTTCTTTTGTGCACAACCAGCGTCAACTTCATGAGAGAAACACTACGTCCTTACGAAGCCAGGCCGTCTGGTGACGCCCTACTATTTCATCAATAACCAAATATACTATTATCCTGTTCCCGAATTG